GTTTGGTCTACGAATTACCAGAAACGAGAAGAATTCACAAACAGCACTCAACTGAATTCAATGTCTTCTGCCTCTTACATTGTCAAATCGCTGCTTACCCGAGTCATTTTTGCCAGTCATATAATTGTGTCGGTTTGGTGGGTTGTACAAGTTACTCTCGATGATAGACTATGGTATCTGGCTTTCTTCGAAGGACTGCTTTTCCTGGAGACACTGTTCTCTATGTTTTACAGAAGAGGGCAAGAGTATAAATGGTAAGAGAAAGATCCACTGTTTTTAGTAATACCTTCGTTGTTGTCTTAAAGAGCTGTAAGAGAAAGATCTTACGTAATTCATTGAATTATTTTTCCTTATAATTTTGCCACGATGATTTTAGGAAACTGCCAGAATCCGGTTGATTCGAGTACACGTTTTGTTTTATGAGGGAGCATAAAATGAGAAAAAGAAGATTAAAACAAATTATTTGATATATCGCAAAACTCATGGACCATCACAAAGTAAAGATTGTTATCGTCAAGCTCCGTGCTAAAAAAATTGAAAACTCTGCAAAAACTTTCTCGACCGCACATGTGCGCAAGGTTCTCGAATGAGATTTTATTTTGATACTATTATTATAAACGAAAGCGCCATTATATGGCGTGGCTCTTTGCCAGTGAACGGTTTTTTTCCAGATACTTTGCAATTAGCGTTGTATGTTGCATTCATTTACTGAAGAACTCTGCAGTTCATTACCCTTGTATATTGATACTTAAATATTGCATTTGTCTTTCAAATTCGAACTCACTGATAATTAACAGGCTTCGAGTGTGAAGTCGATGTTAAGAAAGCTTTTAGACACCGGATTTTGGCGTAAAAGGAAGGGAAAGAGTAAACCATTTCAAGTTGTTCAAATTCCAAGAAGTAAACCATTTCAAGTCTGGGTAAAGAATTGTAAGTTTCTTACGACGGTAATTTTCTTTTAGCAAAATGGAACGTTTTTACCTTACATTCCACATTTGCATGAAAAGCCATCTTAATTTCAACCATTGTGAGCACCGAATACAAAGTTTTCTGCAGGTGTTTTTGAACAGAGTGCAATATAGTATGAAATCCCAAAATATCACATTAATCCGCTCAGACCTCAGTCAAGATCAAGAGAGGCTTTTGTCTGCCACCCTGAGAGCATCTTAAAAAGCTATAAAATTACACTTGGTTGTTCACTTCGTGAAAGGATTCGAAAAACTCTTAGGAACTTCATTTTCTGCTGATGACCATGTGTTGCTCTTAATTAAGATTGAAGAAAAGAATTAAATAACCAGGAGCGCGGCTCCTGTAAATAACAAATTTGCACTAGAAATGTTCTCTTTCGTAAGCCGAACATGGCGATAGAATTTTCACAGCAGCTGCCTGATTCAGCCAAGCTAAAACCCAATTCAAGTAACTTATCCTTAATTCAACGGCAAGATTACACGAAACTCGTTAAGGTTTTACGTGAGGCAACACAGATTTCGAAGTTCAACAAAAGAAAAATTTAAGTTGTTCTTACAGCCCTCAGAAAACACGTTGTGTTGTCATCGCGTATCAAATCCCAGCTCGTATCAAATTATCTTTTACAATATTTAAAGTAAAGCAAATAAGCCCGATGTTATCAAGCTTTCAAGAGAGTCAGGTTCAAACATTGTGTTCAAACATTGTGTCGATTTCAGATTTGGCACGGAAAAAAACACAGATTGGCTCGAATTGAATTTAAATTAATTAATATTCTTGATTTACGTGCATTCAACGTTGATTTTTATCACTCGAATTAGCATCAACATAAAAAGACAATAATGAACTTTTTAAAAAGAGTCTCGACGGGCTACTACTGAGTGAAAAACAAATTTTCTCGTCCCGTTTTCCTTTCAGTTTTGTCAAAGATTATCAATGTTTACTTTTTCCGGGTAATTAGAAAATCATAAATAGAGATCGAGCTAGAAGTGTCTCTACAATGTGGAAACTCATGTTTCATCCCTTTTTCAGGTATTTATATGAAATATCTAGCCAGGAATCGTGTCTGATCTGATTGCAACTAAACAATATCATTGAGGAATGAAACAAACAACAAACATATATGATATGTTTCTTGTAGAGACATCGCTTTGATGGCTTATTCTCTGAGGGAGACTAATATTTCAGGTTTTATTTCCAACAACTTCCAACTGTGAAAGCATGTTTTTTTTTTTACTTATCTCAATACACTGGGTTTATCATTTGATCCGTTTCTCCATTTACGTTCAGCCAAATATTGCAAAGTCAAGCGCGATTCAGACACGAAATGTTGACGACATTTCTAGCATATTTTTCTGATGTTTTATTTAAATTTGTCGCCATTTGAACGACAAACACTTCACAGAGAACTTGCCATCATTGTGCTTGCTGCCTAATAAGACGTTTCTTCCTATTTTGTTTTCCCTTCATACGCTTGCGGCTTTTGCATGGCCTCAGGCCATGCATTATATCACTCCAGCTTAATTAAAACTAGAATTATCGAACACTGCTTGCTCTCGAAAGCACTTGACAGATTAATTGTTTTATTTGAAAATAGAAATATTTATCTTTCATTAATTTCCTCTACGTGGCTGAGTCGGACTACAAATGGGTACAAACGAGACAGGATTTATCGGCTGTTTTTCTTCCCTTTTTTCTTTTTTTTTTCCGGAACAATCCAGTTAGAAGATTTTCCTCTTAAAATGTAATCCATATCACCAAAAGTGCTAAAGCAGCAATTTCCAAAATGGCGGATGCCGGTAACATCGAAACGCCTGAATATCTTCCTCCCCAACTCCTACTACTGTAAGAAAATTTTGTAAATTTTGGCCTAAGTGACAAAAAATCGATTTATTTTTAATACAAAAATAAGAGATATTTAGAGGGGTTTCGAGATATTTAGAAAAACATTTGTGATATTTAGAAATTTTTGGGAGAATTTCCAGAGAAACATATAAGCGATTTTACGTGATGTTTGTGAGAAGGCCTACTTCTTCAGCTGAAGCACTTGATGGGTTTTTTAGTCAATCACAACCACCGGTGATGCCAGGGTGACGTAATGAATCAAGTTGTTTAGCAACTTCAGCGTCGAAAATCGCGGGCTCAGGTAGTTGATGGTAACAGCTTTTTCCAGTCTCTCTCTGTCTTTATTGTCACCTTTGCGGTTGTGTCCTGGTGTACCGGTACACAGAGGGAATAACCATTATACTCCTTTCTTTACGAACCTTTGTTTAGCTGTTGAACATTGTTGGGTCGTGTATCGGTTCTTGTGAACCGGTACACGAGGACAGAACCCCTTTCTCTTCAGACTACGTAAACCATGGTGCGCCATGCTTCCGAAGCAGATTTATTTTCTTTCTTAGATATTAACATTTCCATTTTGGCTGTTCAGGTTTTCTCCATCAATCTTCTGTCATCTGGCTGGAATCATTCCCTGTGCCTGGATTCTCGAGTTTCATCTTCTGGAGGCGCG